TGTGATGCAACTTCTGCCTTTCCCGCCCAAAGTAGTTAGTCTAAAATTCAGTGACACTCAAAAAGCAATGAGAGACATAATGTGGGCCTAACAGAGTTAAAGAAGTAAATGAGTTGGATAACCCACCAAGAGATACATCCTAGGGAAATTCATAAAGAAAAGTCCATGACCCAAACAAAGATTAATTGTAATAGGCAAATGAGAAATGTAAACACAACTAAAACTGAAATATATGGAGAAGAATCCAGAAAAATAGTAATATGCTGGAAAAGGATCGTTTTATTTACTCAGGCAACAAATACTTATTGCATATCTTCTTTGTGTCAGCTCTCTAGGAAGTGGGATACAGCAATGAACAAAACTATTTCTTTAAATGCCTTTAAGAAGTTTACATTCTAGTAGGAGAAGATGGACTCTAAACAAATAAGTAGAAATACAGTGTACTGACATAAATGTAGTGTATAAGAAGCTGCAAATGTAAGTAGAGAAGGAAAATCGAAAGTGTGTGAGGAGAGAGTTTGGAATTTTAAATAAGGTGATGAGGGAAGGCCTCTCTGAGAAGGTGCTGTTTGAGGAAAGACGTAAAATAGGTAAAGGAATGACCCACGTTTTGTCTGGATAGATGCCTTCTAAACAGAGGGAATAGCAGCGTGAGTGTGCTGACATTGGAGCTGCCTAGCGTGTCTGAGGAAGAACAAGGAAACCAGTGCTGTTGGTGCCGAGAGTGGGAGAGTGAGAGCATTACAAGAACAGGTATGAGAGCAGCCACGTGGGCTGTGCCCAGCAAAGCCTCCAAGGCCTTGCAAACCCACCTTCGCACCAGTGTGCCCAGGAGGCAGCACATAAAGTGAAAAGATATTATTTTGGAGCTTTAAATTTTAATGTCTGCCTTGTTGAGTTTCGGACTTGCATGGTACCTGTTGCCCCCTTTTTTGGGCTGATTTCTCCTTTTTGAAATGAGAATGTTTATCCAGTGCCTGTACAACCATTGTATCTTGGAAGTAAATAACTTGTTTTTTTGTTTCACAGGCTCATAGCTATAAGGAACTTTCCTTGAGTCTCAGAAGAGACTTTGGGCTTTTGAATCAATTCTGGAATAAGTTAACACTTTTGGGGCTACTGGGAAGGGATAATTGTATTTTGCAAAGTGAGAAAAACATGAGATTTGGGGGGCCGGGGTCAGAATTTTACGGTCTGGATGTGGTTTGTTTTTCCCCACCAAATCTTATTTTTAAATTTAATCCCCAACACAGTGTGGCAGTGTTGGAAAGTGGGGCCTAGCGGGAGGTGTCTGGGTCATGAGGGGGATCCCCTCATGAGTGGCTTGGTGCTGTTCTTGAGGTAGTGAGTTTTTGCTCTCCCAAGACTGAATTGGTTCTGGGATGGGAGGAGGAATGAATTTATTCCCAAGAGAGTGGGTTGTTACAAAGCCAGGGTATCCCTTTGGTTTGGTCCCTCTTCACACATGGCCACTCCCCTTTTGACTTTCTCTGCCATATTTTGACTCAGCACAGACGTCCTTAGCAGGAACTGAACAGATGCCGGGCTGTGCTTCTTGTACAGCCTGCAGAACTATGAGCAAAATAACCCTCTTTTCTTACAAATGACCCAGCCTCAGGTATTCCTCTATGGCAACACAAAATGGACTAAGACATTGGGGAATATTATTTACAAGGTTATTTCAATGAATTAGACAGCTTAGATAAAATGGACAAAATCCTTGAAAGATAAATATTACTGAATCAGGAGCAAAAAGAAACATAAAAATCTTAATAACTTTATAACTATTTTTTAAAAATTGCAAATTCTTCATTAAAAACCTTCCCACGAAGCAAGGAATGACCTAAATGATGAATTCTATCAAATATTTAAGAGGAAAATACCAATCTTACACCAATCTTTCAGAAAAGAGAAGAAAAGGGGAACTCCCCCTCAAATTTATTTTATGAAAGTAGAAATATCCTGAGAGCAAAATCAGATGAAAACATTATAGGAAATTAAAAGTATGGACCAATACTCCTCAGGAATGAGGGCCAAATAGAGTTTATCCTAGCAATGTAATGCTGGTGGATATTGAAAATGGAATTAGTATAATCATAATATTCACAGGATGAGGTGAGAAAATTATATTATCATTCCAATAGATGCATAAAAATCATCTGACAAAACTCAGCACCCATTCAAAATAAAAGCTTTCAGCAAACTAGGAGTACAAGGAAGCTTCCTCACACTGATAAAGGACATTTATGAAAAACCTACAGACAATATCATGCTGTTGGTGAAAAACTAGATGCTTTACCTAAGATGGGGGACTCATCACTTACATTCAACATTGTCTTGGAGGGTCCAGCCAGTGGAATAATGCAAAAAAAATGAAATAAAAGCTATAAGGATGGCAAAGGGGAAAACAAAACTCTTTTATCTACACAAAGCATTATCACATACATAGAAAACCTCAAATAATCTACAAAACATGTTACTAGAACTAAAAAGTGAATTTAACAAGTTCACAGTACATAAAGTTAATATTACACAAAAGTTCATTGTATTTCTATATATTAGCAACAAACAATTAGAAGGCAAGAGCAATGTATGTAACCTTAACATTTGTACCCCCATATTATGTTGAAATAAAAAAAAGAAGTTGGAATACAAAAATACCTGCTATTTTCAATAGCCACAGAAATAAAAAACTTAGGGATAAATTTAATAAACTATGTCCAAAAATTATGCATTGAAAACAACAATGGACTAAAACCAATTAAAAGGTTTACCATGCTCATGTACTGGAAGATGCAATGTTGTTAAGGTGTCAATTATTCCAAACATGAATCTATATATTCAGTACCATTTCAATCAGTATTTCATAAAGCTCTATTGAAGAAATTGATAAACTAAATCTAAAATGTATATGCAAGAGCAAAGGAGCTAGAAAAACTGAAACAATTTTGAAAAAGAACAATGTTGGAGGACTTACTATTACATTTTAAGATGTAGTATTGAACTGTAGGTATTAAGAAAGTATTTATTGACTTAAGGATAGAACAGAAAACACAGACCAGAAAGAGACCCCCATACATATGATCAACTGGTTTTCAACAAAATGCCAAGTTGACACAATGGGAGAAGATAATCTTTTTTTAACAAATGATACTGAAAGAAATGATTTCTGTATTTTAAAAATGAATTCCAGTTCTAACCATATACTGAAAATATAATTTAATTTGAAATGGGTCATATACTTAAACATAAAACCTGAAAACATAAAACTTCTAAAAGAAACTGTAAGAGATAATCTTCACAATATTGCAGTATGCAGGACTTCTTAAACAGAACACAAAAAGCACCAGCTTAAAAGAAAATGATTATTAGACTTTATTAAAAAATTGTTAAATGTATTCCCTTTGAAAGGTGCCGTAAAGAAAATGAAATGACAAGCCACTAGCTGGGAGAGAATATTTACAAAACAAACATGTCTGATAAAGAAACTATGTCTAGACTGTATAAAGAACTTTTACAACTCAATGATAAAAAGATAAAACAATGAACCAGATTAAATAATGGGCAAAATGTTTAAAATCACACTTCAAAAAATAAGTTCAGTGAATGACCAAACACCCATAAAAAACTCTCAATATCATTAGTCATCAGAAAAATATGAATTAAAACCACAATGAGAAGCCATTACACACTAGACTAGAATGACAAAAATAAAAAAAAATAAAAACAGAACAGAGCACTAACTATTAGCCAGGATGTGGAGAAACCCAAATCCTCACACGTTGCTGGCTAAAATATAAAATGATACAACCACTTTGGAGAACATTTGGCCATTTTTTAAAAAGTTAAACATATATTTACCATATGATTTGACATACTCCTAGGTATTTACTCAAGAATAATGGAATCATATATTCAGAAAAAGACACAGATATGAATGTTGATGTCAATTTTATTTATAATAATCAATAATTAAGAATCATTCAAATGTTGATTAACAGGTAAAAGAATTTTTTTAAAAAGATGTATATGCAGCACTGTTTAGGAATACTATTCAAGAATACTACTCAGGAACAAACATCTGATCTTTACAACAAAATAGATGAACCTCAAAAGCATGCTGAGTTAAAGAAGCCTTACCTATCTATAACAGTACATACTCTATGACTATATATTTATGAAATTCTAGAAACCAAAGAACTCTGTTACATTAATAGTTACAAAAAGTAGATAAGTAGTTCCCTGGCAGATTGGACTGCAAAGGACACTGATGTTGTAGTCACACAAGAAGTCACACATTGCCAAACTCTAACTGAAAAGTGCACTAAAAATGTTGCATTTTGTTATATATACTTCAATAATGTATAGTTCAATATATATATAGTATAGTATATATTGTATACTTCAATAATGTTTATTTCAAAAGCATCAAGTCAAATATGCAGGTATACAAATGTATAATATAATTACTGAAAAAGAAGGTCATTGTTTTATGTGGCAGTTATTCATATTACACTTATTAATCTGAATTTCCCATTCCATCAGTACTAGTAATAGTTGCAAGTCCAAATTTTCTGCATACTCTGTTCCAAATAGCTAGTTGTCTTCAATTCACCAATTAAATAGAAGTACCTAAAACACCCATACTCAGTAAGTTATTTAGAATTGAAGGGCCATTGTTAGCCAAAAGGTTGGGGGTTGCATAATTAATATCTGAGGGTATCGTGGTACACATTTTTAGATTACAATGGAATTTATTAATGATTTCTCCAAATAAGTTTCAAATTCTTGATAATACAAAAATACACATCATAAATATGTAATATTCTTAGGTAAGAAGCTATTATAGGTATTCACTTGAAAATTTTACAATTATCTTCACAATGGAAGAAACTGGGAGAAATATAAAATATCTTTAAACTTCTCATAGACTGCTGTTTTTATCTAGAATGTACATACAATAGTCTATGGTTGGAATGACTTATGGTATTACGAGTTTTTCATCTTATAGCCCACACCTTAGCTGCCACCCCAAGACAGGCCTGCCTTAACTTAGAGTTTCCCAGAATCAGGACAAAGGAGTGGATTGAAGGATAGATGATTCCAATAGTCTGACAGAGCATGTGGACCAGTTTGGCCTGATTCGTCACAGAAAGCCATGATATGAGAAATGACAGAAAGGAAGTAGCATAGAGTAGGAGGAACAAGATCACAGTTTTCAAGGCATTTATGTGGGCCCTGGTCCTGGGTTCTCTGTGTCCTTTGAAAGAGAGCTGCATCTTCTGGAGATGTTTCCACAGGGAGAAAATTAACAGCAGAAAAGCGATCAGGGCCACAGTAAATGGTATTAGAGTGAACACAGTCATAGTGAATCTAACCAGCAGTGTAAATGTTACAAAGTCACTCGTGTTGAAATTCCAAGTTGTGTTCCTTTCATATTTATCTACCCAGTCCTTAATATGCATGTTCATTTGTATCAGATTTAAAATCAAGAAAATTAAGCTTCCTAGCAGTATCGTCAGAATCACTTTTTTTACTCTCCACTGCAGATAGAGAAAAGTGGGGCTGGAGAAGGTGGCTATTTTGAGCAAATAAAAGACGCTGAGGATTGTAGCAAGCCAGAGACTGAAGTGATTGGAAACTACCCAGGTAAAAATAACCAGTCTTAATTCTGTTGCAGCCACAACTAAGGCTGGACGATACAGAGTTGCAAACCAATTTATTAACATTTCCCAGATCAGACCAATTCTGGAGATTGCCAAGATAATGAGGATTTTATCGACTAAGGACAACTTTCTTTTGTTGACCCAGTCAATGCAGTTTATCAGTACTATGAATCCATTGCTCAAATTCCCAAGCATGAACTCTGCGATTATTATGAGATTGAAGATGTGCTGCAGTGTACTTTCCATATCAGAGCAGAGAAAGCTCAAAATCTGACACTGCTGCTGGTTATTTGCTGTTGTAAAATGCATCCTTGAATGTACAGTGACAGTCTTCTTCAACCTTCTCCTCCTTCTGCTCCTTCTTTAATCGTTGGCCCAATGTCAAGTTCGAAACCTCCAAGGTTTGTTAATCAATCTGCTGCATATAGCTGTTCCTGTGAAGTCTTTATTTTTCTTTAATTTCTTTGCTGAGCCCTAGTTAAGATATGTATGTCCTCACCACAGGCAGAAATAAATAGTCCATAGATGATTATGAAGCAAAGCTGAGCTCACATTTGCAACCATGCAAATAAGGATATATTCTCTTTCGTTGTTTTGTGCTTTTTCCCTCGTCTCTCCTGCAAAAAAATTGGTTCCACCAGCTTGAGTTCTGAGTTACAAAGTTTGTAAAAATATGTTTCATAAATATGAAGCTGAATGAAGCATTGCCACTGAGGACTAACAAAACACGCAAAGACAGATCTATGTCATTTCAAGAGTCCTCAGTTTCCAGTCCACCTGTGAGCGGAGGGAAGCGTCTGCAAAGCTCGCCTCTCTCCTGCCAGGCCTCTGCCCGGCGCCGCAGCGCCGCGTCACCCCCGGGGGCACCGGATGCTGCAGCCTGTGTCCGCCTTCCCTCCATATTTCCTCTCCAAACTTAAAAGTGCACAAAACATCAATTTTAAAAGATCAGCAACAGCTACCAAAGAAAGCAGTGCTACCTGATGTCATGGATTTCAAACCTGACAGGCGAGCAAAGAAACAGACGGCGGCAGCCCTCCCTTCCCCGGGGACAGTCCCGCCTTGTTCCTGGGGCTGGACTCCACAGCCCCGTGGGGCCTCAGACTGCAGATAGCACCCAGCTCCAGGTACACGATGTTCTTGCTACACATGCATTCCTGTGACAAAGTTTAATTTATAAATTAGGCGCTGTAAAAGATGAATAATAACTAATAATAAAATGGACCAATTATTAATATAACACATACAGTAATAAAAGTTATGTGAATGTGGTCTCTCTCTCTCTCTCTCTTTCAATGTCTTACTGTATCATGCTCACCTATTTTCAAGCCGTGGTTGACTTCAGGTAACTGAAACCACAGAAGGCAGAAGTGCGCGTAAGGTGGAACTCCTGTATTCTTTGTGAAGCAGCAACTGCTCCTCATCCCACCTCACCCGCTCAATACAAAGGAGAGCGAATTAGCAAAATTCTAAAAAAGTGAAGACTCAAGAAAAATTGTCTAATTCAATGTTAATGTAAATAAAATACTCTTTTAACCTTGATTATAGCCTAATAAATAGCTATTTTGTTGGATAAAGAAAAAAGCTGTTTTTATTTAAGAAATATATAGTTTATGAATCACAAACGTGTGTATTTTATTACTAATGCAAACTTTTCTGGGTTGTCTATAGAACAGATACAAAATAATTTAATTGCGTCATCATTGATTTGCAAATTTTAGTATAAAAATAAAAACATAGATATTTTTTATTCTGCTGCTATGATGGTATATCTATCAAGGTAGAATAGGACATATCTCCTTTAATAGTTTGTTAGCTTTAGTTATTTACAACTATTAAATATTTAGATATGTGCCATGTGGGCTTCCATTTGTACTCTTGACACAGGCCTGATGAAAGCCTCTATACCTTTTCACTTTAAGAGTAAATTAAGGATAGTGTTCCTATCTGTTCAGAAAAAAGACTTTGAGAATGTTGGCCACAACTTGTTAATAGCTACAATTTGCATACATAGGTAATCTGAGTTATAGGACAATACTTGCATATTAAAAAGAATACCATAGTCCTTTAGAATTTGTAACATAATATATGAGAGAGAGGTAGAGAATGGGTAGCAGAGTTGTGATTTTAAGCTGCATGTTGGTGGTATGTTTCCATAAGAGAAAATATTAAAAAGACAAATTAGATTTAAGAAAAGTGATCTCCCACTTCTATGGGAGAAAGAGGATAGATGCCAGGGAAAAATCACAGAAAGACTTTTTCAGAAGTCTAAACTGGAAAGGAAAAGGGGACAACAGGTAAAGAGAGAAGACTATGAAAGGTGTGACTATGTAAACTATTTTTCTTGGATTGTGGAATCATATGAAATATGGTTTTAATGTTTTCCTTCCCTTACTCTCATTCATTTCAGATATCCTATCAGTGTTTGGTGCTAAGATTTTGCGAGACTCATAATGTTTGTTGACAAATGTTCTTTTTCTGTTTTCCTTTCTTTTTATTCCATATTATTGTTATATGTAACAAATGTATAGAACATTTTATGAAGTCTAAATGCTTTATTATTAAGTTCACACTAATGTAAACACCTCCCGTGTCAAGAAAGGGAACTTTGTAAAATCTAAAACACTTTGTACCTTTCTAATCATAACCACTCTGTTTGTTCCGGAAGTAATACCTACCCTGCAATTGAAATCATTGTCTTGTTTTACTTTATTTTTTTTTATATTTGAATATGCATCCCTAAACATTAGCTTAGTTTTGCCTGGTTTTGAAATGCATATGAATGTAATAACACTGTGCATATTCTTTTTGCATTCAACTAATTTTGACCAATATTATATTTTTAAAATTAATTACATTGCATATAGAGATAGATTATTCATTTTATTACTGAATATTATTAATTGAATAAGTATTCATGATTTATCTATTCTAATGGAAACACATATTTGGATTGTATTGAGTTTGGAAACTATTATGATCATGATGCTATGAACATTCTTTAACATGTAACTTATTCTTAAGCACATAAGCACACATTTCTATGATCTTGATCTAGAACTGTGCTTTTGCCTATTTCTCCTTGTCTTGTTTTTGATATAGCTTTATAGATATTTGTCAATTTCAGCAAATAAAATTTTTATGTACCTTTGGTTATTCTATTATATACTTAATATCCACAGAATATCTCCTTTCAATTCTTCATATTGTTATTTGCTTTTTTCCACAATTTATCTCACTAGAAGCTTATCAATTTTGTCAGTCTATTCAAATAACCAAATCTGCCTGGATTGATCTTATCAAATGTATTATCATTCATTAATTTCTTGTCTTATATATACTATTTACTTATTTTTACTTCCTTTGAGTATGTTTGCTTTTTTTTTTGGTAAATTTTCTGAAATGGACACTTAGAACATCAATTTTCATTCTTTCTCCTTTTCTAACATATTTCTTCTAAAGGTATTTCTCTAAGAATCTGTTAAAATTTCTTATAAGGTTTTATTCTATTTCATTATACTTAAATTTAAATATTTTCTAATTTTATTGTGATGTTTCTTCAACTGTGGACTATTTTTAAATATCTAAGTTTTCATTCACATAGAATTTTCCATTTTTGTAATTGAATTTTGGAAAAATTGAATGAAAGTCACGGATCATACTGTGCATAGTGACAACTTATGATGTCTGCTGAAATTTTTGTTAAACATCTGGTCAATTTTGGTAAATGTTTTACGTTGGTTGAAAGTAACATTTATTATGTAGATTGGAGGTACAGTGCTCCATACATACACTAGAGCTATTTGTTAATTGTGTTGTTTAAATTCTATTTATTCTTTCTGAGTTTTGTCTTTTTGAACTACTATTTATTGAAATTTAATGTCAAACTATATTACCATGAGTGTAGATTCATCTATTTCTCTTTGAAGCACTGTCAACTTTTACTTCATATATTTTGATGCCATGTTAGTTGGTGCCTATAACATTAGAATTGTAGTATCTTTGTGGCCAATTTAACCTTTAGTGACATTATCTACTTTAATTTTTTTCCCTTAAAATGTACTTTGTATATTTTGAAATAATTATGCTAGCTTATTTCTTTCAGTGTTTCATGGTATAGTTTTTCCAGATTTTACTTTTAACTTTTCTGTATTATTAGAGTTTAGATATATATCTTATAAATAGAATAGAGGTAGTAAAATAGGAACTAAGGCTGTGTGCTAACATTCTGTTTCTTGTAAAATGATAAGAATGTATTCTCATAGAAGCCCCCTCTCCGTCTTGTAGTTATATATTGTCATGTGAACTTTTTGGTCAATCAAATATTTTGGAAATGACATGTTGCTTCTGAGTGAGTGCATATACTCGCCAGTTCAAGACACTGCAAAGTCCTCGTTTTCTTGCTTTGACATTCAGACAAGGTCAAGAAAGTGTCTGTCAGCCTGAATTCCTATGTGACTACTATGAGTACTAGACATGTAACAGAAACTAGAAACAAACAACAAAAACTTTTGCTAGGTGAAGTCCCTGAGATTTGGCAGTGTTGTTCACTCAGCATAGCCTAAGATATCTGGCCTCTTGAAATGAGGTGCTGATAAAATAAAATACCTAATATATTGTGACGTTGGCCTGATATTTGCTTCATTGGCAATGAGTGGCTACAGAAACATTACCGGTTACTAAAAAGCAAGTTACAAAGTATCAAAACACTTGGCAAACTGCCACCTATGATCACCTGGAAGGTAGATCATACAGCTGATGATTTTGTAACTTTAGGAAAAGAAAATTACAATTGAATAATATTAATAGTGCATTTGACAACATATTTTTAATTGGTGTCTGAAAATAATTGCTTACCGTCAAACTAAATAGCAAAGAGAGAGGGAGACTCTCTAAAAAAAAGTGACATTTATTTGTGACTAACACTGCAATGGGAATACATGTGCCATAGTAAACTATGTGTGTATCCAGAGAGATAAAGAAAGAGTTTTTAAAGAAAAAGTGAGGGGGATTACATAATTGTTTTGAGATGATTACTCTTGACTACAAGAATCACTAACAAGGGTGGTGTCAGCCCAAGGTTGGACAAGCAGTTGCTGGGCAGATGTCCTTGCAGAAGTATTTTTGTTATCTGAGGCTGCAGGTGGCCTTTGTGCAATGTTGTGGTTTTTGTAGTTTTCTGTGTTAGCTCTTGTGATCAGTCATAAGTGCAGGAGAACCCCTCCTTCATGGCCTTCCCAGGCTGC